AAAAAAAAAAAAAAAAAAGGAAAAGAAAAAGAAGAAGAAGAAGAAGAAAAAGAAGAGCGAGTGGTAGGAAGAATCGCATACTCAAAAGGTGTAGAAACCACTGACATTTGTTTATTATTATTATTATTATTATTTTGTGGTCTTTTTCGTCAATAATTATTAAAGAAGAGAAAAAAAAAAACATAAAATAGGAATAAAAGTTTGACTCCTAAAAGTATGCTTTTCTACGTTATCTTTTGATTGAGATTTGGTTCACCTAAAAGCACCACTGCCCATTGCATTCCTTAGTTTTATATAACCAATGGAATTTTCGAATAATGCCTGTCCCAACCCTATTTTATTATTCCTTTTTTTTATTTCATTTTATTATTCTCTTTATAACTTTTAATTTTTTTTTTTTTTTTTTTGTATAATACCTTTGTTCCACAACCATTAACATTTCTTTAGTCACACTAAGATCGTCCACATTTTCCTTCTTTTGATCCGTTCAGCATGTGGTTGTGTTTTTAGCCATTCAAGTGGATACATTGAGATCATGAGCGCTGTCTTGATTATTGGCAATGAAGATTACATAAAACTTGTCGTGATGATTAATGTCATTGACTAGAATAAACGAGGTAGACATGAATCAATATTAGTATTGTATTTGATTGGAAGTGTTGGAGAGTGAAGGAAGTATGAAAATGGTGGGGATTAGATGGGGAGATGGGGTGAAGAGGGAGGCCCACTTAGGTTAGAGGAGAGTGATAGCACATTGCAGGCATGTGAGAGACTCTTCTTTTGATGCCCAATCACCAACATAAATGGGTCCATTCACATCTCTTACTTTTTGACTTTCTATCTTTACCAAACAAACCCTAAACTAATTATTTAAATGTGGATTAAAAATGTTAGAAGGATTATATTGTTGGTACGTAGGGTTAGTCTTAGTCTTAAGAAGCTAGAAGTAAATAACATGGTCATGATGTAGGAGAATCCTAAAGCCATCGAATGTCGAATCTTGAATGATTATATTTTTTGTTCTTAAACTCTGTTTATTTGTGGGTGTAATTAACTTGATTATTGGAAAGGGGATAACCATGGTCCAACCATTTGAAAATGACCTTAGTTGGGTAGGATATTAATGATGATAAACATGTCCTTAAAAGAAGTGATTTGACTAAGTCTCCTCAACCAAAAATATATATATATATATATGGTCTTCCCTCCATTTTTCTTTCCAATTCTTCATAAAAAGGTGCAACAAAAACAAATAATGATGCAGAAAGTTGTCCATTTTCCTCCCCTCGAGTGTTTAGTCCCACAAACACCAAGCTCCTTGTTTTTTTTTTTTTTGGAGTTTGAACAAGAACGCTATACATCGCAAGTTACATACTTTCACCGTTATCTCATATAAATATAACATTTTTATTTTGAGGTCACTATACAATCTTTACGAGTCCTAATCTACCTCGGACATGAATCAAATAGAAAATCTTTGTTTCATAGAAAGATGAGAATTGGGAAAGCTTTTATCATCGTCAAACTCAGTCCTACACTCGAGTTTGACCCAATTATCGATAAGAGTAAAAATATTCTTAAAGTGATGAAAATGGAGGAGGTAGTTGATGTGGATGATAAAAGTGAATTTTCTTCTTATCTATCCATTTCTTTATCTAAAAGTGTGAGTATCATTTCAAATACATATGTGATATTGACTCTGTTTTCCACTTACAAAATCAATCTCAGCAAAAATCTAAATTGACTAAGAAAGTTCATCTTCCTTTACACATCAAAGCTGCTGCCCAAATAATTAAGAACAATGAAGATTCATTGATATCAAAGCCTGAAATGACATATTCTATTCTATTCTACCACTTTATAAGGTGTTTAACCACAGAGAAAACGAAAGTACATATGAATGTATAGACATTATTATTATTTTCACAATATCCATGAAGAGTTTTCCAACAGAAATCCCTTATTCTCTTCATCTTCCTTCTCAAGTTTAACTTCGAGCTTGTGGGTCTTGTATTATTGTAGGCACTCTTCTGCAACTCGTTGACTTTGGCAATCTTCCTTCTCAACTTTAACTTTTCTAGTCAAAAAGTTAGTGAGAAGCAAACTCAGAGAAGCTGAAGATTGCCAAAGTCAACGAGTTGCAGAAGAGTTGAAGGGATGATCACCATTAGAGAAAGAGAGTTCAAAAATGGGTACTAAATTATTTCTCTTAGAGCGAAGAAGGAAGGAGAAAGATGCACCCAAGTATTACTCTTGCATACACAAGTTTACTTTTTAAATTATACCGAAAAAGTTCATTTTTCATACTAACTAGAATACACGTGTTTGTTCGTCTTTCGTTGTCCTTAATAAACTAAGCATTCTTTATTTAGCTAAACACACAATGTTGTGTACATTGTATGTTGAAGAAAATGAGGACAAAGAATGAAGTGTCCTCTACGGTGACGCATAAAAAGATTCTCTGAGAATAGGTGTTGGGGAGGGGTTTGATCTATAGAAATAGCCAACACACATTTTGTAAGTCCAATTATACAGAATATATTCCGGGACAGAAACCTCGGTGAGTGTAGAGTGCAGTATATTGTTGTGGGTGGGGCTGCTCCTAATTTTTAACTTATAACCCAAACTCCAATGAAAACATACATACATACATACATACCTAATATCTCCTTTTGCTTCAAAAGGAATGGACTGCACTCTCGCATTCAACATACGAGGAGAGGCTTTAATTCTACCTGATTTATGAGGAAGGAAGGAAAGGTTCAACATGGGAATGGAGAGTCATGTACTGTAGCCAAGGATGACTTGCCTGCAGCCTGCAACTTCATGAAGGGATCTGTAAAAAGCTGCCCCCTGCAATGGCATACTCATGCAGGCAGTCTCTTTGGCTATCGAGACCGGCTCTTATTTCCCATGCCGAACTTTTGCTTCCAGATTGAAAACCTCTGCAATCGACTTCCATTGTCTTTCTCTACATCTGCATCTGGGCAAGACCCCCTTGAACTCAGGTATACCATCTTTTCCGAGATGTTTCTCATTGTTTACTTGCGTGATCCCAGATCGTCATCCCTCATCAGAATCCAAGTCCCCTCAAAACCAAGCAGGCAATAGCAAACCATCTATTATGCTCGACTTCATTTCGATATCGATAGCCAAATAAAGAAGAAAAAGAAAATCCCATCGTTGATTCATCCAGATGATGAGGTGCATGCTCAAAATGTAATTTGAGAGAGGTTAGAACAAATGGTGTCAGGAGATGCAGATAGTGAATGGCCACGGGAAATTAATTGAACAAACGCATACCATTTCAACTTATGAGGTGAATGATCAAGAGGTCTATGAAATGATTCCTCTAGACTAAGCTAGCGGTATTATATATAAACAACAATGCCAATGTAAGAACAAGTTATTTACAAGCGGTAAGTTATAAAAAAAACATGTACTTGATTCTATCACAGTTGTATCCAAACCTTGCCTATCCCTAATTGTAACAAGAACATCTCAAAAATAGCACAGGAGTAAAGCAAATAAAAAACATGTACTTGGTTCTATCAAATAGCACAAGCGTATAGAAAAAAAAAAAAAAAAAACATGTACTTGGTTCTATCAAATAGCACACGAGTATAGCAAATACTGACTGCAGACAATGCAAAATAGCCACACGATAAACTAGCAGCTCGTAAAAATCAGGCAGGCAATGCAAAGCTTGGCTGTGTCCAGTGTGGAGGATCCATCACAGCACACACATCCGATTTCTCAAAATCACCAACCTAAGGAAATATGATAGTATCATTAATTACTCCAATTATCCATAATAGAGCAAGGTCTCAAATAACCAATATGCAGATAAGAAGAAGCAACTGAAAGAATTAAAAATGACAGGAAATAGTCATACCTTTTCCTTGCAGCTGGGACAATAGTGATACTTATGCCAAAGGCAATCCATTGAAGGACAAAGAAAGCATACTCCCAACATAAATGGCATCATACAACCAACGACAGCAGCTAAACTTATCTTCGATCTGCAGAGATCATGAAAGCATCACAACCATATGAAGAGGCATAATTATTTGACTGTTAACATAAATATACGACATCCACCTCTCTCCCCTCCTATATCTACTATGTCCAGATAATTATACACAAAATTTTGCTGCCTAACCATGATAAATCATATTGGTGCTCTGCTACAGCAAGTCTTGAACATACGAGTACCAACATTTTTGTCAGTGTATATACAATCCCAACATTTGGTCTTATATTTGTTTAGGCTACTCTCATTAAAAACTGAAATTGTAACATGATAACCTATTTGATTTATGCTATTATTGTAATTTTCATTGTTGCCGTTGAAGAAAGAATGAACAGAGCATTAATTTTTAACGCACACCGAGAAATTAGATTGATTGATAAGTTCTGAATGGTAAAATTTCAAGTGTCCCCACTAACAATAATGCTATTTTAAAGAAGGGAGCATCTTATGTAAAAGTATGCAATTTGAATGTTTCTAAAAATGAAAATGATTTAAAGCCAAACAAAACTTTGTATGGGTGTAAACCATTTGCGAGCCCCTGAGTTTGTACCACCTTGCACCTGCGCTCTGACCGAGTGTTTATACAAATTTGAAAACAAAGTAACTGCCCTTGATCCAATTAGTTTTATGTAAGAAATCAAACACAAACAGCAATCCCTCAAAACGACCACAACCTGGTAAAACATAATTGGACAACAGTAAAGTTGGGCGTCAGACGATTTTGAAACCAATGTAAACGAAGAAGTGTACTTAAACACCCAAGCAACAACTATTTCAAAGACATTCCGGGTATATAGGGTAAAAGTCACTCAAATCATTTCAGTTAATTGTTAGAGCATAGCAGCAACAACCAGACAGTTCCTGCCTTATGATGTAAGCAAAGTTTCACGACCCACGAAATTCAATAGCGACAAGTGATTCTAATCCTAAAGAAGAAAATTAGGTGAAAGACAAAAATGGGGAAGGCCCATTGATCAATCAAATACAAGTTCCAATAAACGAAGTAAAAAATTTCAATGCCCAAAACCGTTCCTGAATTAACGATTCAAGTAAAACAAACAATGGGATAATCATCGGTTAAAACAGAAAAAGACAACTACCGGACTAATTAGACACAGAATTTCGAATAGATCAAAGAAAGGAGACAAAAAAAAAAAACCTAGACGCAGAGATAGAGAGAAGGTAGAAAAGGAACCTGATGGAGGTGAGACCGGAATTTCCACAATAAACACAGCAGTAAGGAGCAGGAGTGTCGCGGTACATGGTTTGGTGGATAGGAACTCCCTGGGGATGGCCAAAGATGGCGTTCGGAGGGATCTGTCCAGCCTGATAAGCGTTATTGCCAACATAGAATGGAATTCCGACGACCGGCTCATCGTTCTTCGACATTTTCCCTAAGCTTTTTCTCTGTGCTGCTGGGCCGGCGATTCTGGAAGTTGTTGGAACGGAAGTCAATGAAATTGTTGAAGGAGAACAAACGAGAAACGGTAGAATTACGATGGAAGCAAAAGGGTCGAAATTTCTCGTCAAAATATTCTTAAAAATAAAAAATAATAAAATAATAAAGGAAGAAGAAATGAATTATTAGCTGTCATTAGTTTAGGTTGGGCCCACACGTAAGCCCACCGTAAAGTGTTTTTTAATGGAAATTCAATCGACTAATTACTTTGAATTTATTTCGGAAAATTGTAGCAAAATACAATATTTCCCCCTTCCATAGCATTAAACAATCCTTTTTAGTTTTTTATATTTATGCACTACTTTATTGTTGTAATTAAATTTCAATATATTTTTTAGAGCAGCCGATTGGTGAAGGTGGACCAACTAGTCGAGTCTATTTTAAGTATCACTTTATTTTCTAATAAACCATTAGTTTGTAATCCAACTAAAAACGGAGTCACTCTGGAATCAATGAGAGGGTGGAACCTCATGATTTAAGTCTGGAAATCAACACTCAAATAAATTACTCATCTACGGAGAATGAATTACCTCGGTCTCATAAATATTATATTTGGTCAGTCAAGATTAAAATTGATAAGGAGAGATAGAAGGTGATAGGAATGATTTGAATGGAATGTAATTAATTCATGAATGATACAGTTTTGAAATGCAGGCTTTAGAATCCATAGGGATGTGCTTAAGGGTATTATGGAGAGTTGGGGAATTTATGTTATTGCTTTTGTATTGAAATGGTGGGATTGGAAGAGAGAGAAGAAAGGAGGGTTTGGATGGGGTGGGGGCTGGGCGGATGGCAGAAGCCCACAGGGAATATTTGTGCAGAAACAGGGAGAAGCTCGTGGTGTCAGAAACACTTTGGTACGTAACTTTTCAGAAACATCAAATTTTATTTTATTTTAACCTAATTAATAAAGATTCCCCTTCCTGCTCAAATTCCTCTTTTGCCCTTCCTCTTTTCTTCTTTTCTTTTTTTAATGCTAAATAAATAAATATAAATATTTGAATTTAAACTCCAGCCTTGGTTTGGTTTGGGTAAGGAGCGGATCACCCGCCCCAAAATCCAAAACAAAACAAATTGAACTCTCCCTTTGAGCCGCGCGTGAGGCTGCTCCAATTTCTTCTCTTCACTCACACCTGCCACCATTTCTGTTTCTACAGTTCCGAATATATGGGTCCCACCTGAGATATTCTCAACAACTCCCACGCGCGCCTTCCCCCCGTTTCTTTCTTTTCTCTTACTAAATAAATAAATAAACAATAATTTCATCTTTTTATCATCCCACGACGATAATACACTTTTCCGTATTCTCATTCTTCCTTGCATCTCATCTCTTCTTCTTTTTCTTCTTCTTTTTCTTCTTCTTTCTCCTCATCTCTTCTTCTTTTTCTTCTTCCTCCTCCTCCTCCTCCTCCTCCTCCTCCTCCAGATGAAATCTCCCGATATGGCGGCGGTTACTGATTCCCTCGAGCAGTCTTTCCGTACCTTCTCCCTCAACCACCGTCTGCTCTCAGCTGCCCCCTCAGCCGGTGTTCGTAGGTCGTCGTCTTCTTCTTCTTCCGCCGACGAACGTCATCTTCCTCTTAATCAACATCATCGCTTCGACACAACCTTGGAGCTCAACTCTCACATCTCTCTCCCTCCTTTCTGGGAACAATGCCTCGATTTGAAGGTCAGGATCACCACTACCGCCTTTCGTTTTCTGTGTTCTGCGTCTTAATTTTCATTGATTCAACTCTCACTTCTCTCGCTTTGTTTCTCTTTGTCTTTTTCTCTCTTGTTCCAGCTTCTGATTCTTTCGTTTTTTTTTTTTTTCCCTCTTCTTAGCCTGCCTTCATTTATTGCGAAAGGGCGCATATGGCAGATCTTTGGAAATTCTGTTGTCTTGTACTTTTGTTTAATTTTCTGATGATTGTGTGTTCGAGAGGGAGCTTTCGTTTCGATCTTTAATTAATGCGTTTCTGAATCCATAAATTTGTCTTTATGATTAATGCCTTGCTTTCTAAATTCTCTCTCCCTCCCATACGGACTCCATCCGCCCTTCCCAGGATTCGGATTCCAAACCCTAGAATTAATTAATTTCATACTTCCTTTTATCGTCCGCCATTTTCAGTTTTCTTTTCGTACGACCTCAGAAAAAGCTTTCTGGATTTCGGATTCCCTTGCCTTTCTTTCGTTCTTTCTTTTGTTTCTTCTGTTTCATTTTCTCCTCGGGAACACTAAATTAACTTTTCCATTCTATTCCGTTTGACTCACTAGACTGGGGAAGTCTACTATAGAAATTGCCGGACCGGAATGAGAGTAACGGAAGATCCGAGGACAGCGGAAGCACACAGCCGAGATTTATACTCGGAAGATGACGACGAGAACGATGCGGATGAGAGCTCGTCGGACGACGGCAGCGAGGAGTCGTGTTCTTCGTCGTCGTACGGTGCTAGTAGGCAGCAATACCCGCCGGGAAAGGAGGAGGACGTGCTAGTGGTTGCCGGATGCAAGAGATGCTTCATGTACTTCATGGTGCCGAAACAGGTCGAAGATTGCCCCAAATGCAGCAGCAGTCGTCTTGTTCATTTCGATCGCTCCGAGGACAGTAATGGCTTCCCATAAAAGAACGAACCACAATTTTTTAAAAAACAAACTGTGTTTGGGTTAATTCTGACATAATCATTGATTCTTTCTCTTTGGATTAATTTGGTGAGCAAAGGCAAATGGGGTTTAATTTCGTAGCTCGATGTATACGCCTCTCTCCCTCCCTTTGACGTTGTTTTATGAGTTTTAATTGTATGGATATATATTTTACAAAGCTTGAATTGAGAAGCTAAAGAAAAAGAAAAGGAATCTGGGGGGGCCGCCATGGATGTGTGAGTGGGAGATGCAGAAAATATGCAGGCATGAATGGGATGATGGTCAACGACTCAAACGAAGAAGAAGGAATAACATTTTGCTCGTGAAGACAGCGACTCATTGCTTTCATTATTCCACAACCCTCTCTGATTGAATCGTACGCAATTAATTTTAATTTTTATGTTGTTTTTTTTTTATATGAATAATAATGTAACGAAATAATTAGAATGGAAATGAAAATGAGACATCCCACACACAACATATGCACAAAGCATGTTAGGGTACGACTCTATTTATACCTGCTCTTCATCTTAAAAGGATAAAAATGTGAAACCCTTGCTCTTTTCTCATCCCTAACGGTGCATAGTAGCATAATCATATCGTCTTATATCATATCATAGATCATAAATAGGGCATCTTTTCTCATCCCTAACGGTGCATAGTAGCATAATCATATCGTCTTATATCATATCATAGATCATAAATAGGGCATCTTTTCTCATCCCTAACGGTGCATAGTAGCATAATCATATCGTCTTATATCATATCATAGATCATAAATAGGGCATCTTTTCTCATCCCTAACGGTGCATAGTAGCATAATCATATCGTCTTATATCATATCATAGATCATAAATAGGGCATCTTTTCTCATCCCTAACGGTGCATAGTAGCATAATCATATCGTCTTATATCATATCATAGATCATAAATAGGGCTTGCTATCATATCATAGATCATAGATAGAGTTAAGTGACTAAATCATCTATCATCCTCGTCATTTGTATCAAAATTAGCGTACATACATACTTCAATCATCCATCATCCTTTCAAAGGTCAGTTTTTGTCCATTCCGTCATAATTCATCCTAAAAAATAAATACTAGCGGAGTTTTTGAATTACTACTGACCTCTATGGAAGATTGATTATGGTCTGAACCGACCATTTCTTCTACCTTGCAAATTTTAGCACAGGCATCTGTTCTTTCCTGTTCTCATTCAGCAACTCTGGTGATTGTCTTCCACCATGAATTTTTTCAATTCCTTCTACGAATCAAAAGAAGGCAGTGTTAAGGTAATTAAATTGATTGGGACCATAATCGCCCAAAGTTGTTGGTTAATCAGAGGGAGAAAATAAGGGTTTAAAAACCCTAAAAACATACTGTTTTGAAGCAAACTTGAATCCCGCAAGTAAAGTGTAGATGTAATGGATTGGGTCTACAAAATAAACTTGAACTATGCGGTAAAAGCCCATAAAACTCCACATTTCTCCAAGAAGAAAAAAACATAATAATATTTGAATTGAAATGACCACTCATTTCTATTATATCCATGCCCCCAAAGAGATCTCACTACTCCCGCTATATCCAAACTAATACTCTTTCTTTGAATACTTTTGGCACTTCTATTAGAGAGGTTGTTTAAAGGGTTGGGATTGGCTTCCAATGAGATGAAGAATCTCCGTTCAAATAGAAAATGGAAATGGAATGGAGTACGAAGAGCTTTTCTTTCCCTTTTAATTGAATGGAGCTAAGAACAGGCATCATATTCTCCATCTCAAACTCCCACCCAATTTTTCGCCTACATATATATATGAAAAATAAAAATTTTACATTAAAAATGTTATTTGAAATGTTATCGATAGAGAAAACTAATACCCTTTCCGTAGGAAATCTCCTACAAAAATAAATGGACAATTTCATGGCTTAGTGGTGTATAGAATTGTATTGTAGCCAAATTCATTGATGATGACAATTCAAGAACTAACGACTATAATTCTTTAACACTACAATCAAGTTACAATCAAGTTTGACTTTTATTTATTTCCATTCTTAATTGGTGCCAACTTATATTCAAAGTCAATGCTTAACACTTCATTTTCGACCACGAGCTAACAAGCAAGATAATCATATTAGAGACTTTAAGGTTAAGGCATAATCTATGGCGGTCATAAATTGAAAGACTTTAAGATTAAGATAATTATATCGGAGACCATAAGTTTAAGTTTAAGACATAATAATCCTTTTCCAATCATTAATTATGATATGATTATCCCTTAATTGGATTGGATAGAATTTGGTATTCAACAGCTATGGCCATGGCGGTCCAATGTGCCAACATCTATGAACTAAAACCCAACAAAGTGGTTGGAAGAGAACAAACTATGGTAGTCTACCAAGGGATGGTGTGTGGTGGGAGGCAAAGAGGATGGTCAAAGAAAGGCTACATGAATGGATGGAGGAGATCAAATCA